TACACACACACACACACACACACTACAAGGCAACAAACGATATACAAAAATGGGTACATCAATCCCTCTGACTTTGATGGCTTGGTTGTATTGTACGGACTGGGTGGTGACACTCTCTGTACGTTGTTGGACAACCTTCGCAGCCAATCCGAGTGTGTATTGGTCCTCCCGCACGTGTGATATACACTCCGCTTGCCACAGACTATTAATTTGTATGTATGAGACCCCACACACAACTGATTGCATGGCTGACTTGTGCTTGCGCATCCAGCAGAAAACCTGGATGGATTCGCCAACCGATCCTAAATAGAGATATACTCGGTCGTAGTATAATAATCCTACCATACTACACAGTCACGTAGAAGGAGTCACATCGCCACATGGAAGAAATCACATAGGGACCTAGAATATATCACATGGCCACATAGAAGATATCACATAGTTACATAGAAGAAACATACACTCCCAGGGATCTGCGCATATAACAAGCTGTCTGCATGGTTATACCACGCGATCGAGAAGCCAGACACTTGTGTCGCTGGCAGGATTTAGACCTCCTCCTATATATCTTTGATAATGGACCTCTAATAATGAACCTTTGACTTTGATAATAGACCATTGATAATAGACTAATTGTCCAGATATCTCACTTCACAGTATATACATATACATACCACACAAGTAACATGCAATTCGCAGGTTATGCGCAGACACTCGATGGTTGAGTTTAGGGTACGGAGCTGCCTATCCCATTGTTCATAGTGACATTAAATGTTATAAAAACCCAAGACAGATAGGCAGCCTGCCAAGCCCATTTTTCTAAATTGACATACGTTTAGGTAAATATTTGGTCTTGACCTTGTATATCATACAAAAACCAAAATAAGTAGTTGCTACATATCGATACATAGACACACGCCTACCTTGATGGTCTTATCAAACGAGCTGGAGGCCAGATACCGTCCGTTGTTGGGCTCAAACTTCACCGTCGAAACCAGATTATTGTGTGCGGGGAGTGTGTAGATGCATTTCCTCTGCCGCATCTCCCAGATTTTCACTGTGTGATCGTCTGATCCCGTTGCTATGTAATGGCTGCGCAATATAAAAAGAGGGACAGACGCGGTCAGGTGTACTTGCCAGGAGGTGTGAAGTGTCAATCGGCCGAGTGGCACGTGTCAATGTCACTTGTCACCTGTCAAATGTCATGTCACATACATACCAAGACCAACCACATACGTAGAACAACCGCCAATAACACACACAGTGCGTGATCGTCACATACAACCCCTACACAACCCTGTCTACGCTCAGGTACAATCCAGTCGTATGCACCCCCTCTGAGTGGCCCCCACATACCCGTCCGGCGCCACATCCACAGCCAGCACATTCTTGACATGGCCAAACATGTCCCACACACAGCGCCCACTGCGCAAGTCCCACACACGACCCACAGCGTCCATGCCTATAGGTGTATGTGTAGAGATGCATGAGGAGAGTATATGGTTTAGTTATACGATAGATACATGGGGTATCCATGCCTGTAAGTGAATGTGTAGAGATGCATAAGTAGAGTATATGGTTTATTTATAGGATAGGTACAGGGGGTATCCATGCCTGTATGTGGATGTGTAGAGATGCATAGGAGTATATGGTTTAGTTATAGGATAGGTACATGGGGTATCCATGCCTGTATGTGTATGTGTAGAGATGCATAAGGAGAGCATATGGTTTAGATATAGGATACGTACATTGAGTATTCATGCCTGTATGTAAAAGTATAGACAGATAGCTCAGTAGGGTACCTGGTTTAGTTATAGGATAGGTGGATGAAGTATCCGTGCCTCTATGTATAAGTGTAGACAGATAGTTCAGTGGGGTACATGGTTTAGTTATAGGACAGGTACAAAGGGTATCCATGCCTGTATTTTAAGTGTAGATACGCCAAGTAGTGGGTGAGTATTGGTGCATCGTTTAGTTAGAGGATAGGTCCATAGGGCATCCATGTCTGTTCAATGTAGACAGATACTTAAGTAGTGGATACGTATAAAGGAAAGGTACATAGAGCATACATGCATGTATAAGTATAGACAGATACGTAAGTAGTGAGTATATCCATTAAAATCGATCCCTACATAACATCCCGATGCATGGCATGGCATGAAACAACCACGCTCACGAGCCACTCATGTCGCGTGCATCGCTGTAGTTCGCCAGTAGTACCTACCCATAGTCGCTGCAAATTAAATATGCCAGCAATCCATGTAGGTGAATGTGTGCAGGTGTCTATCGGTGTATGCGTGTGAATGTGTAGGTGTATATGTAAGTTTTAATGTGTTGCGTATAACGTGCGCGACCGTTGGCACACAAGCACATGAATATGAAATATACATATGTTTTATCTCACCAACAAATGGGCGTACGTAAAGGCCCTGCAATATATATATGTATAAATATGTATGTATATATATATATATATATATATATATATATATATATATATATATATATATATATATATATATATATATATATATATATATATATATATATGTATATATATATATGTATATATGTATATATATATATATATATATATATATATATTTCTATATAT